TTCGATCATACGACAACGAGAGATCGCAGCGACGCGCGATCGACGCTGGTAAGACAATTTCGAAATTACGGATTTCGGAGAATAATCTCGACTCGTCGAATGTTTTATCCTTCGAAATCGATCCTTTAAGATATCGTTGATTTTATAGACATTTTTCGAATCGTATTAACACGCGCCTCCCCGGAATTACCCGACCTCTCCGCCCCACTCCTTGCACATTTCGAAACTGCCCGGGCTCGCGTTCTAACTTTTGCCGAGAATAAACAGATTTTGGATTATCGGCAAACTGGTTGCTACATAGTTTTGGTACGTCTTCTAGAGCAAACGTACAAGGATCCCGAGGAAAGGAAATTTTTGTAAAAATACCGAACTGTTGCTTACATTTTCTTCGACCATTTGAATGATTCGGAATCTAATTCTCGCGATTACAAACGATCGATCGGATTATATTTGGCCAAACACTGGCTAGAATCCGAGCCCGAGCACTTTCGAACGCGAGCCATCGAACGCTTCGGATCGGCAAACGAGATCCGGGTGCAAAAAGACGGGAAAGAGGAGCCTGTAATCTTATCGTTTTACCGACGAATGAAAATCAATAGGCGGTCGAGTTCCTCCCCCGGAAGCAACGCAACCGTGCGTCCCCTCCCCTACAAAAGAACCTAACCCCATTCGTATTTCTGTTGGCGCGAGACGCGAGCCATCGCATCGGCAGGCCATGCCGCGCAAAACCGCCATCGTCGTCGACGTCATCCCTGTTCCAACCACCCCACCTCCTCCCCTCCTCGAAAACCAGCCCTGCCACCGAACTACGATACTACCACGATACTACGAAACTACGAAAGTTGGTTTGTCTGATTTATCTGAAATGAAACTGGTGCAAACTCGGCTTGAAGGTGCGTGGATAAACAGCTGTCGCCGTCACAACCCGAGCCGCTCATCTTCTGCATGACGAGCGACTCGCGGAACACGACCTTCGTCATCGAGTGCTGCAAAGAGGATTTTTGCAATCGGGATCTGAAACCTCAGCTGCATCCCCGCCCAGAAGGTATAGTCCATCGACCTGGAAGTAGCGAACACTCTGCAGGTGGCTCAGGCTTTTGCTGCAGCGCTCTTTTCTATACATATGTAGATCTATCACTGTCCTGTAGCTCTGTCTCTCTATCTCGCTCTCTCTCTCTCTCTCTCCTCTCTCTCTCTCTCTCACTCTCACTTTCTCTCTCTCTCTCTCTCACTTTGTCTCCAGTCCATTTTTACTTAGCAAATTACGTGTCCACCCTCCGGTAAGTTGCTCACCTCTTCGCCATTTTGTTTTCGAAAACTGCGGTTTTTCTAAAAATTCGAAGGAACGACATTTTAGCGAAGAGACGGTAGTTGAAATTTCCACGTTGCCGCAGCTACGCGAATCAACGATTCGTTATCCCGTAGAATTCCGCTATTCCGGATAGGGGGTAACGACCGGCTCGCTTACGACTTTGCTCGCGTGGACACGTAACGTTCGTTTGAATACGTATACGCAAGTTGATCCTTTCGTAGATTGAAAAGCACTGTATATATCTTATGGGAGAACACGTAGTTGTCGAATGTCCAGCGTAGATGTTTTTCCTTGGTACCGATATCCCGATCGTGCCGATCCTCACCGAATATCATCGTAGCATTTGCATTTTCCTCCCTTCGTACTTCCAATCCTTTCGTATTACAGATCTCAGGGTTCCTCCCTTGTTATCGGGGATGAACGAATCCGAAAGCCGGATCAATTTTGGACCCCCCTCGAGAAGAAAACGCGATACTTTCAGCGAGAACAGCGAAATTCGTCCCCGTAGACGAGATCGTTCGCGATACGTAGCGTAGCCCCGGTGTTCAGTTCGTTGTACAGTTTCGCTGCCATATTTTTGATGTCGATACACCCGCTGCATCGCAACCGTTGTCTCTATTTTCATTTTCTTGCCATGACGCCTCTCTCTCCTCTTTCCACTACGCCAATTCCGCGTTATACCGCCTCCGTCTTCGGTAACGTACGTTGCACCTGCTGACGCATACTCATTTTGTCTCTCTTTCTCTCTCCCCTCTATCTCTTTTCCTCTCTGTTTCTCTTTTTCTGCCGCCCACCACTCTATTATCTGCGTCTAGATACGCGTATCAATATTTTACCAAATATCACGGCGCGCGGGACGCGCACCACGCTGTCTGGCTACCTAGGAAACCGGCTACACCCTGCACCCTGCATCCTGCACCCTACGCGCCGCGCGCTGCGCGCAGTCCGCGCAGGGTCCTTCGCAACCGCGGCTCTTTTCTTTTTTAAGAGGTTCAGAGACGAGCGGCAAAAACAATTTGTATCGGTCGCGATTCCTAAATGTTCGTCTCTCGAATCGAACGTCTTTTTTGTAATTTTTACGCTCCTATCCTAGTCCTTCGTAGTTTTGCAGCACAGCCGGTTAAGATCGAGAACACCGATGCGCGAACATTCCGATTACAGCGATACACAACAGTTTGGTAAATAACAATTTGCAAACCGGCGCAACGGAAACAACGAAAGAGCGCAACACGTTGTTGCGCGAATGGAAGAACATTTGCCACCTATGGAAGCGCTTGTTACTTCGAGGCATCCTTCTCCTCTTTTTCTATCTTCGCTTCGAAGCGCTCCGAGACCGGAAGTTCTCCCGAGCAAACTTGGAAAGCACGTTGGTCGCATGTTGTCGTATCCTCCTCTCTGCGCTCTCCAGCAAAAGTAGATACGCGGTGACAGATCGGTAAACAGATCCTTAGAGAAAGGACATCTTTTGTAAATATTTCCCTTCGATTTCCTTTCGAACAGAATTGCTGGAAAGCGCTGGAAGTGTGGCCGCGCCGCCGCGCCAGCCTTTCTCGGCCCTCTCACGCCTGATCCCTCTCTATACAAATCCGGTAGATTACAAGCGTTATTAACCTTTTCTGTAGTCGTCGATGTTGTTTGCAGCGGCGCGGCGCGGCGCAAGGTTCGTGCAAGTCGAGCGAAACGACGTTACGATTCACCGGATAAAAGCATTTCGTTCGAGGACGAGTGTATTACGATGTTACGTTACGAGCGAATTCGTTCGTTCGCGTCGCCAACGACGGCCAGAGACGACTCGGCGAGCGTCGAATTCTGCCGAATCGATCCGAAATTGTACAATAGCTGGCACAATGGCTGGGAGAAAAGAATCTTGCACGAGCGTTTCGCCGACGCCAGCCGCAACTATCGCAACTCTCGTTTCTGCACGTCTTTCCAGTTTGATCCGTCTATTTCCTCAGCTGTCGCGACTCGCGACGCATCGCTTGTCGAGGGACGGCAAAGGGCAGCGAACGGCCCGGTCGGCCCGGGTTTATCGTTCTTCTCAATTTCCCGGCCAGACTCCTTCGACGACCCGTCCTCCTCCTCACTAGCTTGTAAAACTCTTCTGTATATACATATTCGTTGTAACTGTGTCAGTTCTCCTCGGGGACTAAAATGCTTTCTTTCAGCAGCGGCGTGTCCGATAACGGAAACACTGTACATACGTATAATATACACCTCCGATAGTTTGAAGCAATCGACCGGTCACTTTATCCGGAAGAGTATGCTGTTGCCTATAAATACGCGTAATGGTATCTCGTCGTATGGTCGTTCGCGGAACAGACAATTATCGCACGAGTATTTTTAGCATCGGCTGTTTCAACGATTTCGCGAACACCGAGTTCGATCGATCGAATCGCTTCGAATCGCTGCCCCGGACTCGACGATCGTCGAGCAGAGCGTCAATATTCGTAGCTGTTTTTGCGAAATAACATTTCCGACAATTTTTAATCGTCAGAATTTATGTTATACGTTGGTCGAACATTTTTATCGAAACGACAGTTTATCGAAATTGAAATAGAATTTTCATCGGAAATGCAAAAATAGAGTAGCGAGCAACGGGACGCTCCGCGGATCCGGAGTTTTTCCGTCGATCGAAGCGCGCGGCAGGAGGAACGATTCGATCGACGATCGAGGATCGAAGCACGAAGCACGGCAGGGCCGAACGAGGATCGGCCGTCCGCCGCGTTTCGGCCGCGTCCGAAGTCCGCGGCAAAAAACAATTTAATATAACAACGGCTCCTCCCGAAATGGGCCGCGATAACGACGTTATAATACAGCCCCTTAAGAGCCAAATTACTCGGGACAGAAAAAGCGACGGCGATGCGGCCGGATCGGGGAGTTATTAATGATTTATTCCCGAACGTATCGCGCCGCTGCGCCGGTGTCCTCGCGAATTTACGACCTCGTAATAAGCGTAATTTATCACGGCCGTGACAAAGCGAAGAAAAAGCACGCCGAGGAAAAAAGTGCAACGGTACGGAAGCGAAGAGGAGAAAAGCAAAGCGGCGGACCAGCTGCGGCTTTAATTTATTTACAGCGCGACGCTTCGCTTCGCTTTGCGTCGCGCAGGATCGTACGCTGTCTTGGTTGTCGCTAGGATGCGGATCGGCGAATACGATCGATTTCGGCGAACGGGAGTAGGAAAATCCTCGTAAAATAATTTCTTAGCAATCGCATGTGTAGGAAATCGTACATGAAACGTTGCATCGTTAAATTATCCTCGGCACGCTTAATTAGAAGATTATGGATTTGTGCTTACGAGGTATGTGCATACCGATTATAGGATTCGTTAAATAATTGCGGTCGCGTTGAATTTCAAGGGTAATTACGAAACGATTACTTTATTAAATCGATCGAAAATTATAGAATTTTCGAGGAAAAACGCGGCGTCGTTCGCCGGAAAATCGATCGCGTTCGTCGAGGCCGGAAGGAACAGCTCTTCCCGAGGAAGAGAAAAATCTGGAGAAACGTCGGTATGCCGGCGACAAGGTACCGTTAAAGGCCCGTTCGGTCCCCTCGGCCCTCGGGCCCTCGGCTCTCCGCGAGTAGAGCCGCGGGCATGAGCGCGCGAGAGGTCGCGGTTGCGACCGCGGCCGCTTCTCGCCGGGTTCGCGGACCGGATGTAGCCGTCATGTGAAATTGTTCTCAGGTGTTACGATAAGGAGAGCTCGTTCCCGTCGCCCGAGTACTCGGTCTGGTGCAACACGAATAGCACGCTACGCGGTCCAGGCGACTTGGAGTACGTGATCGCCTGCTGCAAACACTCAGACTACTGCAATCGCGACCTAAGACCCACTCTGGTAGCTCGCGAGGCCGGAGGTGGGCCCTATTCTCGTCTGGCCGATTACCTCGGACGAGGTACAGCTTCCGCGCGCGATCGCGATCGCGATTCTCCCTTCCAAGGTCGACTTCTTCCTGGAAATCCGACGCGTCGCTTCGGCCCGAGGACGAACAGAGCTTCGCGTTTAAGCCGATGCACGCGCAGCCGACTCGCCGGCTCTCAGGATCCGCGAAGACGTCCGCGCTCGTTCCGGAGCATCGGGCTCGTCGTGCCGGATCTCGATCGGTTTCTTCGAAATTTCTCCGTTCGTCGGTGTCGGGACATCGACGCTGCAGCATCCGCAAAGTCTTCGAACGTCGCAGACATTTATTCGACCCTCGAAGCTTTCCCGAAATGCTTTCGTTCACGTACGATTTAGCTCGCGCGATTCCAACGACGAGAAGGGATCTCGAGAAGGAAACGTTTTGGTCGAAGTTACGCGAAAACGCTTCGAGATCGTCGACGCGTTCTCGATGCTCGAACCAGGGCAAAGATGCTTCGAAACGCGGTAGAGACCGAAAGCTCTGTTCGTTACCTATCGCAAATATACGTTTACCGCGCGGAACGAAATGTAAATGGAAGAGACGAAACACCGAAGAAAGCAAAGCGAATGGATATAATTGCATAAAATCTAGCCGGGCCCGAAGCTCGATTTCCAATTGGAACGTTGCGAGTTCGATGCTCTTGCTTCCGAGCAAATTAAAACGCCGTCCCCGTTATCGAATCGAAAGCACGCCGCGAACGGAAACTCGCGCTTATCGCGACGAAGATACTGGAATTCGCTCGATGTACGCAACTTTCTCCAATAAAGTGGATATAAAGTAGAAAAAAAATGTGAAAAATTGTCGCAGAAAAACCGACCTTGGCAAGGCGAACGCGATAAAGATAAGAAGGAAATCGGGCTTGTTTCAGATCATCGACTCCCCGATGCTTTTTGTGAATTGTCTGGGCGATCATCTCTGTCGCATATGTTTTCTCCATCTTCCGTCCCTTGTACACCTTATCTTTGTTCGTCCAACTCGCTTGTGCCGTGCCGACACCGACATCGACAAACATGGAATACGATGCGGGGAAACCGGAAACCGAAATTCCATCATTTTTTCCTGCACCGACCATTCCGCGGGACCTTTGTTCTATCGCACGACTCGACTTGGAATCGCCGTTTCCGTTTTACGCGTTTCTATCGAGGCGTTCGTAAAATCTATCGATTCGGTTGTCCTTTCTTCGAGCGGCTCTCTTTAATCGAGACCGTGGCGAAATCGATCGCGCGAAAATAACGAGAGCGAACGTTGCCTCTTCTTTTGCAACGACGATATCGCCCGCGAGACCCGAGCGGTTGCAACCCGCGACTTTATACGCGATACGGTTTCGTTCGATCGTTTCGCTCGAAGAAACAATTTAGAAACGAAGAACGACAATTGTTCGCGCGAAACACCGATGCCAAGAACGTTAAAACTTCCATATTAGTCGACAGCGACGTTTCTTTTCGCTAATCACGGATAGCAAAGCGTATCGGCTTCCTTTCGTTCGATCGCTTCGCTTGCCTGGAAATTCGCTCTTCGATCGTGAAAGTTCCTGTTTTACCTGCTAAATACGATCCAGATCGTTCAGTCGACTAGACGCGAACCGAAAGTTCGCCGCGCGACTCGCCTACGAAAGTTCTCGTTCGCGCGGAGCACTTTTCGAAATTTAGGTCGTCGCCGATTAACTTTTCGCGTGCTCCGTGATCGATGGATAACATTTGCGAACGAACGATCGTTTCAACCGTGGACGGAATGGAAAATGAAGCGGAGGTGCGGACGGAGCGAACGAACGTAAATAAAGTACGATAGAAACGTGGACGAAGCGAGATAAAACTCTCTCGATAGACTAAAGAATAAAACGGAGGCGCGGACAGGCTAAACGAACATAAATCAAATACGAATGTAGGCAGAATAAAGTAAAACTCTCGATAGAATAAGAATAAAGCGGAGGAGCGACGAATAAACGGAATCGAGTGTGAAGCAACGGATCGGTCGGAGAGAAGGAGGAGAAGCGGAGAAACGTGTAAAGTAAAAATAGAAAATAAAATAGCTACGATCGTCGATTACCGATTACCCGAACTATCGTCCCTGCGTCAACGTTCATTGTACGATTCTCCAACGAAATGGTCGAGCGGTGAAACTAATTGCAAGTAACGTTATCCGGACGTCGGATAAGAGAGGTTTCACCGTGGTTAAACGCATTTTAGCCGAATCTGTAATAATTTCAGTATCCTTCCAATCGGGTCCGATCGCGTATTATTACGTTCTTCTCTTTCCATGATCCGAAAACGTTTTCATTTCAAATACAGAGATGGTATTTATCGAGGGTTGCGAGACCGGTGACTAAAAAAACGCCCAAACTTGTCGGAAAGATAGAAAAGCGCCTAATAGCGGCGAGGAAACGTAAACGTGTCCAACGGTGTTCGGAAAGTAAGAACGTCTGCCAAAGAATAATGGCCACCGACGGAGCAGTCTCGAGAAAGGTAATCAAATTTCCCAATAAAAATCGAACGCGATTTCTGCCAGCGGTAATCGGGTGTATATCATCGGAACAATTTATCGCAGGACTCGTGACAAACATGTTTTCCCAGGAACGATGCTCGAATTAATCGCAGCCGCGTCAACCGTACCGTTTCGAATCGATTCCGATGTATCGAACAACACGCCTCGCCTCCCGCTTCCCTCTTTCTCCATCCTCTCCACCGGCTCCATTTCTCGCTTTTTCTCTCTCCGACCCTCGGTCTCGCTGCAGCGGCTCTCTCTCTCTCTCTCTTCGGCCGCCGCTAAACGAGAGATACTCTTGAGTATTTTGCGAGCGATATCGGCATTATCGGCCGCGCGTAATATACAAGCGGCCGCGATTTTCGCGGACCGCGCGTAATTCGATGATGTCACGATCGGCCCGCTGGATTCTGTTTCTGTATCATCCGCATCTGTTTACAGGACGGGAGAGGGCTCGGCGGATGATAATACACGCTTCGCAAGCTGCTCGCGGATAAGATAATGCCGAATATTATATTCTTACGCCTGGTAATCGCATTCTGCTCCGATTCCGACTCCGCTCCGACTCGACTCCGACCGCGACTCCGACTCGAGGAGATAAAACCGAGATGTCCGGACGCTCGAAACTCGAAACTCGAAACTCGGGAATTTCATTTCGCGAGCGCGTCGCTCCTGTTCTCGTATCTGAAATATTCAGGCTCGTGATACTTTCCAAGCAGATTAGAAAGTATGCTCGCGGTGATCCATGATCGCGCTGGAATCGATTTCATTTCGAGTCGTTTCGTTTCACGCGGGATTCCCTCGAACGACTTTCTCGCCGCGTGGACCGATGTTTTGTTCGGTCTATCTTGAAATTTGATTATGAAATATCCTGAAATTTCAATATTTCCCGAATCTTCTCGGAAAATTAATCTTCGATACTCGTATCCCGCGCAATTAAAAATAGCTAACGCGCTCCGAGAACTCTACGAGCAAAGCGGAGCGATGGAACTTTGGATCCGTCGAACGTTCGCACGAGCAACGTACAAAAGGAGTATTCGGTAGCGAAACGGTTTCTAAATAATAACCTGTCCGAATGATAACGTTCGCGCCAGAAGCACGTTGCAGTATCGAGCGACGCGAAATTGAAAAAGTCAGCGACTCCGACGTAAAAGCGTAGAAACATCTCCGTTTCGCGACTCGCGTTGCCTCGTTCCATAGGTTTCCATCGACTCCTGTTACGGAAACGACGTTGTAAAACCGTTCTACCAGAAAAATCGTAGATTTCTCGGCTCCGATCTCGATCGCGTGCCGGTCCAAATCGAATTCGTCGTCCGCGGAACAAAGAAAATTCTCTCGATCGTAACCGCGCGTTCGCCTCAAATCCAATTTCGATGTTATCCGAATCGAGCTTCCACGCGTAACGCTCGCGCAGCGTCGAAGAACAGCGTTCCAGAGCAAAGGTTTAAATATCCGCGTTTCTCTCGTACCGATTTTCGTCGTTGTTCGAAACGTTTATCGAGGACGGTCTACATTTTCTGCCAACTTCTTGCAAGATTCCTCCGTGTAGAGTCCATTCCTCTGCGCGTATAATTGCGGGTCGGTTACGGTTACGGTTTCGGTTACGGTTACAGGACACCGTGCGTCGAGCGTTAAGGGAGCGTCGACGGCATCGGTAGCGCGAACAAAATGTACGTTCCACGATCCACGGAGTAACGAACAGTGTTCGCACGGTACCGACGAAGGGATGATCGTAAGTCGTAAGCGGTATCCATCGATCGTACGGGCTCTTCTAAATCCCGTGGGAGAAGCGCCCGGTTACCGATGGCTGCGACGATTCGCATCGGTGCGCCATTTAATACCGGTTTCGGGATTTTTCCTCGTAATCGAGAATCGGCGCGTTACCGCCACGCTCGCAGAGCCGGAAGCATAATTGGCGGAATCGTGCAAATATTCGATTCCGAACGATGAATATTCACCGAATACAAATTCGAGCGATTTCATCGGTGAAAACAATGAGAGAATAGTCAAACCGTGAAACGCGCATTCTAAAACTAATCGCAGAACGTACCGTCGAATTCGCGCAGACCAGTCCGCGCCTCGTTTCGTATCCGCTGCAGCGACTATACGGTTTACCGATAGGATGTTGTTCGCTTTGTCCGTCTGATTTACAAGCAAGAACGAGCTTTTTCGTCGAACGTTCGTTAGAAATCTGCATCGGGAATTTCCTAGAGTCTGTACGTCGGAAAGGCGCGTTCAATTTTTGCGAACGTTATTAAAAATTGCTTTTCGACGCGTACGAAACGTCGAGGATACGATGCGACCGCGGCTATTATCCACCGTGTAGCTGTCATTCGAAACGGGAAGATTAAAAGAATCGCTGCATAAAGCATAATATTATTAATAAAGAGGGAAAGATAAATCTAAACGACTCCTGCTTCTTCCAACGGTTGCAGAAAGTTGCTATCGATAGACCGCTATTGTTAACTGCAAATAAAACGTGTCCGCATCGATCGCAGGACACAGAGGTCAAGCTCGAAATAAGCTTCGTTTCCTACTTTCTTTCGACATTTTTGTCGCACTCGAATGCACGAAATCCGACCGATCGTCGGTCCGATAATATTCAACGCGACAGAACAATGGTTCCACGCGTCCTATCGGTCGAAAGTCCTACTAAACAAAAATCTTCGAGAAACGAGTACCTAGAATCTTTGGATTTGTAAATAATAAACGAAATGAAAAACGTTGCATCGGAATCTCTATCTGGCCGCGAGCATGCTTTGGTCGGGCCGTTGAGACGCATCGTGCTCCATAAGCTGTAATCTAGCGTCTCGAGACGAGTCGGCTAGATCCGCGTTCCCGAATCCTGTCCGAATCTTACGGGGCTCGCGATGGCCGTGCGATCATTCGGACATTTTGTCCGTCGATCGGTCCGTTGTTCGTCACCCGATCGGATTCCTCCCGGGGAATGAAACCGCGGTGGCTTCTCTCGCAAACTTGGGCGATCTTCGCGCGGACTCTCGCGATCGATCCCCGGCTCGCGAGTCGACGAGTCAACGAGCCAACTAGTCGTCGAATCGTCGAGTCGACGAACAACCGTTTCCCACGACAGAACTTCGGTCTCCGTTAAACGTTCGACCGCACGTGGGCAACCAATGATCCGAATCGCGTCGATCGGCTCTATCCTCTGGCGAATCCACGGGACCTCGATGGAACAAACGCAGCGAGTAGCGGATCCGCACGACCGAGCTGACGACGCTTCGCCCGCTCGAAACGGCCGTTATTTAACGCGTCGGCTACCGTGACATCGACACCTCGACACCACCTCGACTTCCGCTGGCTTCGCGATAGAAAGTCGAACGATTCGGAGAAAGTCGTCGAATTCGGACCTTCCAGACGTTCCGGTATCTAAATTTCATCGCTGAAAATAAGAAATATTTTCGATTTAACCGATAAACGAAACGCGTTTCGTCGGAGTCTAATTCTTTTTCGAAGTTTTCGCATCGAAAGTCGTAGATATTCGGTCGTGGACAAATGCGTATACGAGAACGGTTTTTTAACTTTTCCAGAATCGTTCTCCAAAAATATTCGTCGACGATCGGCGATCGCGACGCGGACTGTCGTCTCTTTGGAAATGAAATCCAGAATCGTCTCGGAGCTATCGACATCCGACACTCGACACTCGACACTCGAGACCTCGGTTGTTCGATACTTCGTTACCTTTTCGCGTAGCCGCTGTGCTTGTTCCATCGAGTGTACGCCTCGTCGACGGTGGAGAAGTAGCGAAACAACGTTATTTCGAACGGTGCTCCCGAAGTTTATAAAAAGATCAGCCAACGTACGGTACTATTTTCAACCGATTACGGTTCGATTTACCGCTCCGAATCGATAACGGTTTAATTTTAGCTTATAGAGTGCGAGCAACAACACGAATAACTTATCCGTCGTTCGATCCTTCGCGCGCTAATTCAAAGTACCGAAGCGTGGAAGAACGTTGACAAAAGTCTCGCCCGCGTTCGAACGATCTCTAAGATTCGCGAACGCGAAGGTTCGCGACTCGGATCGGCGATCGTCGAACGTCCGATGTCTCGAAGCGGGCCCACGGATAACGGTGAAAAATAAAACCGACGAAAAACTAAGCCGAAAGAGGTACTCGGTGAATGAACGATTGCTGTTCGCGCGGCGCGTTTTCCATAATCCACGAAGCGGTTCCCGGGCGGGGAACGGTGTCGACGAACGCGATAATTGGGGCATAAGGGGTTAAATAGGAACGAATAGCCCCCTGGTCGGTAACCGGAGTCGTAAACGGCCCGGTAATAGGCCTGCCGGTAGTATAAAGCGTCGAGGCTCGAATCAACCGAGACGGCGGACGCGATACCGTGGAAAAACGCGGAGATCGCGAACTCCTCGAGACCGAGATCGTCTCCGGAGACCCCAAGAAGCCGCAGCCTCGTTAACTTTCGCTATTTCGCCACCGTGCCCTAACGCGAGTTCGGTCGTCCGACTCGAACGTTCCGAAACGTATTCCGGGGACCGGGACTAAACAATCTCGTTAACCTTCCCCTGTGTGATTTGCCCCGAGAACATCGTAACCCCGATTAACAGCATCCGCGTGATATCTCGAGAAAAGAGGATCGCCAGGATCACCAGGTAAGTCGGCGGCGCGTTCTCGATCGCGCCGGATCGCGCTCGACCGCGCAAAGAAGCGTTGTATCCGCACGATGACTCACGGGTTCTTGCATCACCGTATGTATGTACGTGTACACTAACCGGACAGGTAAAAGAAAACCGTTCAGCTTTAACGATATCGACGGAGGAGGTGAATCATCGCAGACGCTGTGTTGTACGTTCGCGTTGACACTCGAATTGTGCTTCAATTCGATGCGACCTTGTTTGTCGTTCGACTTTTGTTTTGCGGCGGTATGGACATGGACGTGCGAATGAAAGGTGTGAGAAAGTACGCGCGCGACCAACGGAACGGTCGTTGCCGATTTATCTTTTAAAGGAGTTGTGGTTCCCTTAGCCCGATGTTCCCGCTCGATACGCTAACTTGCAAGCTGCACGCCTCTAACGAAACTCGCCGTCGCCGCTTTCCGATCTCGCCGGGTCTCGCGGTCGCGCATGCTTCGACTTGGTTTCGCTTGGCTTGGCTCGGCTCGGCTCGGCTTGGCTTGGCTTGCCTTGCCTTGGCTTGGCTCGGCTCGGCTTGGCTCTGGTTTGGGAATGACTTTTCGTTCGGCACGTCCCGTTAAAGAGGTTTCCGCGTGTCGCTCGTTCTGGTAGCTTCGCTGTTCCTCCCTTTGGTGTCTCCTCTGTGAAATTGGCTTCGCTGCTTCTCCTTCTTTCGCTCGAGGGGACACAGCCTCCGTTCGATCCGCCGAAATTCTGCAAGCTCCGATCGAACGCTCCGCGTCGAACGTTCCTCCGGCAAACGAAAGAAACGGAAAATTCGCGCCGACGCGGGCGCGCGCGCGCTCCTCAAAGTTTCGCGGGAGAAAAACTTGCCTTTCGAATTTGCTATTTAGTCCGTTCGTTCGACAACCGATTGGTAGTTTCCTTCTCGTGGAAACGGTACTCGTGCTTACGCGAACCCGGGTTTCGACGCGATCGTGTAAAATAATAGTTACAGCGTCCGATATAGCATACGATATCGGTTATTCGGTACCGAAATCGACACACCTTGTATTTTCATGCAAAATACGGAATTCTGTTCTTTTCCGAATTATGTTATCGAGCTTGTCGATACCATAACCGTTTCGGTCGTAACCGAAATACAAAACAGCTTGGAACAGCTGCTTTCGAACGTTGTCAAAGTCGGAGCTTGCCGCGATCTCGGTGGACGGTACGCGAAGAGAGTTCCCCGAGCGGTTTCACGCATGCGAGATCTTTCTCCGCGGAGCACAGCCTAATCGAACGTTTGTTGCGAAAAGTGTCCTCGGGTGGCAACGACGCGACGTGGGTCACTTGGAAAATGGCGCTGTCGATAGCGGTGCCGATCTGCGCGATCTGCGTGATCGTCATGATCATTTATCACATACACATGACCAAGAGGAGACCGCCCGGACACTTCCCGGACGATTCGATGGAGGCGCCGGATCGACCCATTCTGGGCGCTGTCACCATCAGGGACATGCTGGAGATGACGACCAGCGGCAGTGGTTCGGGTAGGTCGAAAGAAAGTTTTCCGACTCGAGTTTGTTCGAGACAGGTACTTATCGTTTAACCTTTTACGCTCGAGTCCTATTTTCGGACGTCCATTTGGACGTTTTTTAGCCCCTGCGCGTCTCGCGCGATCGTCCTCCCCTATTTCGATGTTCCAGTTCTCGCGCGCCCCAAAGTACGCGCCCCCGGCATCTCTGTCCACTATTGTTCTTTCGCGAGGACGAGAAAGCTGTCGTACCGTTTCGGCGAAAGAACTCGCGTAGACGCGATCGAGCCGCGACAAATTCCAAGTTAAGCTCGACGTCTTATCCCGTTTCGTCGCAGCAACGATAATCGCGAGCGTCGCGGAGCGTTAGCTATACGCAGACGAGTCATCTTCAATCATACTGAAATTCGTGTTCTTCAATGCCCATCCTCTCCCAAGTAGGTCTGCCGCTTCTGGTACAGCGGAGTATAGCCCGCCAGATCCAGCTCGTGGAGACGATCGGAAAGGGTCGCTTCGGCGAGGTCTGGCGCGGTCGTTGGAGAGGCGAGAACGTCGCTGTGAAGATCTTCAGCTCGCGGGAGGAGAGGTCCTGGTTCAGAGAGGCTGAAATTTACCAGACGGTGATGCTGAGGCACGACAACATCCTCGGGTTCATCGCTGCCGATAATAAAGGTAACGCGACCGAGCTCGACACCGCGACCTACCGGACGTTCGGAGGCCGCGCCGACGAGAGATCCGACGAGAGATCCGACGAGAGATCCGACGAGAGATCCTCCGTCGAATCGCGCTCACCCGGTAGACGCCGATGTCCCAGAGTCCCCCGCGACGCTCGTCCACCCCGTTTCCACGACCGCGGAGTCGCAACGCGACGCGCGATCGACGAAGGGCGGCGGGGTGGGCAGCCGTCGCGAGCATCGGTCACCTCCGACTCTCCGTCCGCGATCGATCGGGCATCGGCGATACCTGTCCGTCGTCTTTCTGTTTCCAGATAACGGCACGTGGACGCAGTTGTGGCTGATCACGGACTATCACGAGAAGGGCTCGTTGTTCGATTATCTGAACAGATCGACCGTGGACACGAACGGCATGATCAGGATGGCGTTGTCGATCGCCACCGGGCTGGCGCATCTTCACATGGAGATCGTCGGCACGCAAGGGAAACCGGCGATCGCGCACCGTGATCTCAAGTCGAAGAACATCCTCGTCAAAACGAATGGTACATGCGCGATCGGCGATCTCGGATTGGCCGTCAGGCACGACGTAATTACGGACACCGTCGACATCCAGCTCAATAATCGGGTCGGCACCAAACGGTACATGGCACCCGAGGTAATTGCGAAGCGAAAGCGATCTTCTCAGTCTATTCTCGAACGGTCGCCTCTTGGACCAAACTCTGTGTGCCTGGGTTACCATTTTCCGACCGATCGCGCAACGCGCAGCACCTAGTTCGTTCAATGCTAACGCTTTACGACAGCGACGACGATCGGTGTACACGCGCGTGTTACCTCGTAACATCGAAAAGATCGAACTCGTCCAGATTTTGTAAAGTCCGGCTCGCTTATGATTTTTCGGAATCGATTGTTAGAGTTTGTGGAATCGTAACGCGAGAAACCGATCGTTTCGATCGGAGATTTTTAGCGCTCCCGTCGGACCGATTTGCCGGACCGGCCGAGAGAGACGTTGGTTCTGAGGATCGTTGGTTCTGCTTTCAGGTTCTCGAAGAGACGATAAACATGAACCACTTTGATTCCTTCAAGAGGGCTGACGTATACGCTCTCGGGCTGATCCTCTGGGAGATCGCCAGGCGATGCAACGTCGGCGGGATTCACGACGAATATCAGTTACCGTTTTACGACCTGGTGCCTTCCGATCCGACGATCGAGGAGATGCGTAAAGTCGTCTGTGCCGACCGGCAGAGGCCGTCGATACCGAACCGGTGGCAGTCGATCGAGGTACGTCCAAAAGCTATCCTCCGATCGCCGTTGTTACAATTCGTTCGCGTTAAAGTTTGTCCCGCGAACATCTACCAAACGAGTAGAATCTTTTTCAAATATCGGTAGGAGGTCGCGATTCACTGGACGGGGTGTAAAATTATCTTTGGGACGATCCGCGATATCCGTTCGTCCAGCGTCTCTCCGATTACCTCGAGTGGTTTTATTCTCTTGGACACATTTTGACGAGATACTATTCGTTGAATCGTTGCAGGCACTGCAGGTGATGTCGAAGGTAATGAAGGAATGCTGGTATCACAACGCGGCAGCTAGATTAACCGCGCTTAGGATTAAGAAGTCCCTCGGAAACTACGGCGCGACGGAAGACCTGAAGTAAATTGGAACCGGCAAGGACAGAAACGATCGTAAACCGCTCGTCGTCGACCGTCGAAACGAGGGGCGAGGACGGTAGTGCTTCGGAACACGAATGGACACTCGTACCGTAACGCTTATTGCAATAAAACGATTTATGTGCCGTGTTACACCACGCGCGCGCGCGTTAGAGAGACAGGGAGAGAAAGCGAACGCGAGAGAGAGAGAGAGAGAGAAAGAGAGAGTGTGAGCGAGAGAGAGAGAGAGAAGATAGACAGATAAATGTAGCAAGAGGAAAGTAAAGGATGCTGAACGGGTTCCGAGAATTTTATAGAAAAGCAGAGAGCCTAACGAAGAAAGACTGTTCGAGAAATCGAGACGACGTTCCTTTAAATCGCGTTGACTTCATCGGGTCCTACCCCGCAACCTCCGAGTATCGGTCTGCCCAAAATGACGGAAATTACTGCAAGAGGTCGTTCGGTCAGGGTGAACTCGAGGCAAACTTTTTTCGTTCCGAAAGTTCAGAATGTTCGATGGAAGACTAGATCGACGGATGCGAGAGCAACGGCTCCAACGATCGTTGCCGGTACCGCGTGAAATATACGGCAGAGGTCGTTGGAGCAGATCGATCGATCGGTGGAAACGAACGCGTTCGGTCGATCGAGCGCGATCGACGCCCGACGCCCGGTCACGCGTCACACTACCGCTGTATATTTATTGAATAACAAAGGATAAGGATAACGAATTATATAAATTTATTATATAGCGACGTTTATCGAGTAATATTAACGAGTAACGATAAATTTGTATATCGATATATACGCGCGTATAATTACGTACATTCGTTATCGGGCGAACGGGCTCGATCGACCGAACCGCGCTTCGTTCGCGAGAGATTTCGTTCGTTACGATCGATCGCGTATCGATCGGTAACGGTACGAAATAGCGGCACCCGGGTGGCTCGCGACCCACCGTTCGGTCTCCCCGTTTTAGCTGGCCGTCGAACGAATTTTTTTCTTTACCGAGAATACACGGCCTCCGACGTCAGGATACCTGCAATATATTCTCTTCTTTTTGTTGTTCCGTTTTACGTGTTCGTTTTTTTGGTGACTTTTACAAACACGCGGAACTCTCGTTGTTTTACCGGTGCACGCAGAGACTGGATCGTTTTCTTTTCGGGAGTATACTATACCGTGTTACAAGAGAAACGCATATCTTTGTTTCTCGTTTCTACGATTACAAGGTCGCGATTCCGGCGATCCTGTAACGCATACAGGGTAGATAGGAAATGAGAGGAAACGGGCAGCGACATCGTAGTCGTCGAAAATACGAAGCGCGGTTTCGTTCGAACGAAACGACCGCGTATTTTTAACTCGCCTTTTTCGCGTAATCGAACGTTGCTTTCCGACCTGGAAACGTAATATTCACGCAAAAGGTAGAACTTCGATTATCCGAATTCCTCGGACCATCCTTTGGATCGTCGCCGATTTATTTTATAAATTTTATACGCCGACGTATCGACCGAGAGTGGCGTTCTTCCGAACTGCCAACCGTTTGTAATACCTTTTTTCATCGAAGAACGAGATCGAGCGATTCGGTCGACCGAGACCGACGCGTCGTTGTAATCGTAACTTTTAAAATAGGGGAAACCAGCTTTTTCGTTACGGCACTGTCGATCGATCGAGGATAAATCGAATATTCGCGGAGATCGTTTAAAGACAATTTTTCCTTTCCATGTTCGCGAACGGTCGCAACGATTCGATAACGAGCGATCGAAAGAGTCGATCGAGACGCATGACATTTTTATATCTTAGATTTTGAAACATTTTTAAACGCGCGTTTTCTACGTTCGATCGTTTAGCAGGAACGCGTGTCGACGTTAGGGAACAAGTAGGAACAAAGACAAATAACATTCGATCCGGCAGGATCTGCTTCCACCTTGGAGATATTTGATCAAGTTTTATATGTAAATTTCACCCGAGAAGCGACAGCTGTCGAGAAAAGATCGAAAGTCGTTCGAATAATCGGGGTTCTACCGTATTTCTTTTCCCGGCCATCGATACTCCGCACACAATTTCCACAACAACGAAGTTTCTCCGCAACTTCCAGACTTCATTTCTCGGTCGTATCCTTTTTATAATGTACGTATTCTTAGTCTATAGACACGCCCAGATATTTTGCTCAAAACAAACTATTTTTGCGTACGCCACTGTGCGCGTGTTTACCGAACGCGGTGCGTCGCGATACGCGGGACCGTCGAAACGTGTTTCCTTTGTAACACAGGAAGGCTGAAATTGAAGGGTGCTAAGCTCAAGGATGATTGTATACAGTTTTGCGCGTGCGAGAGGAAGAACTTGCGAGAAACGGAGCGCGAAATGGAGAGAGCGAAAGATAGAAAGAATGAAAAGAAAATTCAAGGAAACGAAAGGCTGGGAGAGAGAGGAAGGGAGAGAGAGAGAGAGAGAGAGAAAGTGCAAAACAGACTGAACTAAGAAAGCAAGCGGGGCGAGACGAACGAAGGAGATCGAACAAAAATAACGAGCTGATAAAAAGAAAGAAACATTGGAGAAACTATATTTTCGGGAATTTTTTTCGCGGCGGAAAGGGAAAAAGAGAAGATTCGGAAACAAGAAGATATACGACGGTAGAATGCCGAGATTTCGATCGCGAACGCGTGCCTCGAATCGAAACGACCTTGACCTTCGCGACTCCACCTTTCGACGGAGCGATATTTCGAACGTTTCCCATGGAATTCGCGAGGAGAACGGTCTCGAGCGTTTTTCGCAGCGACGGGACCGCGTTCCCTTCGAAAAACAGGATAACGCGAAGGACGCGCGCGACAACTCGCGGTGTTCGATTTTAGTTAACGAATATTTATTTATTTCTTATAAATTATTATGTACATTATAAGTTAAGTAAATTATTCGTCTCTTTTCGTTTGGAACGGCAACCGCGGCGCACGCGTTGCCGTTTCAAGCCAAGTATTATTTAATTCGCATTCTTCGGTCGATCCCTTGCCTCCTCGAAATTCGTTTCGATAAATATCTGTAATCTTTGTTGCCGGATGAGAACATCGTTTCGTCGCGCCAGTAGAAAATATTTCGTACAAGGAAGAATCGGAAGAATCTGTTCGAGAGAGATAAAGTTGCGTAACGAATCGGCGCGCGAAGCGGATCAGGACTGCTCTATGAATTCGTTGTAGAATCGATACTCGAGGAACGCAACGATATAGCGAGGCAAGCGGTTAACGACAGAATTCTGCGGAGAGCAGCTTCGGACCGACTTCTTCCGGAGCTGCGTTCGGTTTCACCGAGGTAACGAAGTTATTGGCAGCGAACGCGTTTACTTTGTAGATTAAGACCGTATTTCGACGAACACCGTTCCCGTTGTTCCCAGAGCCGATAGACGGTTCTCCGCGCGACACGCGATCGGATCTCGTCGCCGATAACGAGGCACGCGTGATCGCGCGCGTTGCGGTTTCGCGCGACGTAGACGAAGACGAAGACGAAGACGAAGACGAAAAGCTCGAGAGCAGAAGAGTCTCGAGAGTGTGCGAGAACTCGCACGGTACGCGTCTCTACGGGAAGCTCGACCGTGTCCGGGGACCGTTCGCGGGGCCCCTCGCCGCCGGTCCCCGTTGCGACAAGCGATTTACTTCCTCGACGAGGTTAGAAATTCGTCGCGAGACGTTGGACAGGCCGGGGTAGACTTCGAGGAACCGAAGCACGAACGAGAAAGAGCAAATGGAACAAAAAGAAAGCGATAAGAAGAGAAGAGAAAGAAATCTTTGTCATCCAATAGTCAACGTAAAAGTCTGCGAACATACAATTATTACTATATAAAGGAACGGAGGACCCTTCGAACCATATAATTGTATTTTTATATTGTTTTTTACCAACCGACGCTCCACGGGCGTCTCTACTGATTTTTCTCTTCCGTTTTCTAAATGCTCGAAACGATTCGAAACCCAGCTGGCCGCGATCGACCCTCGATCGACCCTCGGACAACCCTTTCGCCGCCGACACCGGTCCGGATGCTCGATCGAGCGATCTTCTATGCGACGGTAGACCTTTTTTACCCGTCGCGATCGAACCGGTGATAATTTCGAGTTTACGGGAAGAGAATTGTGCCGTTCGGTTGTGCAATCGGTAAAAAGCTGGAAGCGACCGAAAGGGGACGAAGTCGATCGATGCAGCCAGAATCTGCTCGCGAGTCCAACGCGAACGGTACAAGCGGCTTCCCACGGACGAGACGTTTCTTTCCGCGACGCGAGCGTCGGCGGCGACCGGGTTCGAAGCGGAGCGAATCGGCGTCTACGCGAAGATCGAGATCGCGCCAAACTCGCCTTCGATGCGAGAGGGATCCGATACGGATCGATCGAATATTGTACCCGGTCCTTCGCCCTCGGCAAATCGGTTTCCCCGACGAGATTTTTCCAAGCACGCGTACACGCGTGGCGAGTCTCGCGCGCCACCGACCGTTCGCGCGCACGTTCCCGTCGCGAGATATATCGCAGGTTCTGCAACCCACCAAAAGACTGAGCAATCTAATGTTCGACTAGTAGGTAAATAATCGAAAGTTAAATAGTTGGACCGCGGTCCGAACGACCGCGGCCGTTCTTTTTAATGGATCATCGTCCCGGCGAGCGCCGCGTGCCGGCCCGTCCGCCGTCGGTGGTTTTTCTCGTACATTCCTATTACGATGTAGGTTAATTTTACGATACGTACATACGATATAGTTAACGCCGTCGACGAGGTTTCACGGATGCTCGCCGGAGACGGCGAGAACGTCCGTAAAAATGTCCAACGCCGGCTGCCCTCGCCGCGAAAGTTTCCGGAACGGCGGCGATCGGGGCGCGTTCGTTCTCATTTTTCCACGGTCCACCGTCTACGCGATGTCGCGTCGCCCGATCCAAGGACGAGCGTCGCCGGTATTTTTACGTTTCTCCGAAGGATCGACGCGACGCCTACCGTGAAACACCATCGGCGACCATGTCCCGCAGGTATTTCCATATTACTAGTACAATTTTGTGCCAATAACAGATCGAATGTTAACTAAAGCGAGAGACCACTAATGATAATATACAGAGTATTTCTCACAAGCATACACGTACACGTTCACGTATTAACAGTCGTCCGGGAAGAAAATATCTTTCAAGCCCGTCCGACGGCTCGAATCCTTCTCGAATCTTGAATCTTGAATCTTGAATCGCGAATCGCGAATAGTCTCGAAACGTCCGCGTGCGAACCGCGTGTCGCGGAAACGCGCAGGTACTCGAACATCGTTGAAAGTTTCAGCATCCTTCGGCGCGTAATTTCGGCCCTGTCAAAGAAGTCGGCTGTTTACAAATTGTAGCAACCGAATAGAAACTCGCGTCGAGGACGGTTAAAGACGTCGAACCGCCTTGAAACGCATCCTCCGAACGCGTCGAAGCGTTCGAGTGCCTGCGCACCCGTACGGAACACGACAGAACCGATCGCGAGATACCGATTCACGGGGCCGATTCACGCGCAATCCCGAAAGATATTTTATTTCCCGGTGGCCGACTATCCATATCTCTTACCGCCGCGTCAGATTTCCAGGCGACGTCGCGCGCGTCACTCGTATCCCCGAGGTCGGTGGCGTTGATCGGCCGAGGTCGAAGGATCGCATCGAACCGTCACCTAGGTTTCGAAGCACGGAACAGTCTGACTCATATCCGACAAATGCCGAACTGCCAAATAATATATTTCATCCCTCTATAACTCTTCTTCGCTCCTTTACGGTGTAAGCACCCACGCCCGCGCCCATTCTTACTTCCCCATTTGTACAAACAAACAAACAAACAAACAAATAAATAAACAAACGAACAAACAAAAAAAGAGGTGTAAGAGGAAGAACGACGCGTAACGACGATAAAAACGCGCGGATACGTGGCGCGTGTATACCCGCGTCGTGTTAGAATGCGAGAAACCTGTACCTTTCGAGGCGGCGCGACGCCTCGCGTCGTCTGCTTTTAGTTTAGAGACCGTATGAGAAGAGAAAAGAGGAACGAGAGGCGCGCGCGTTCCAATTTCTTCGAGGAGAATCTCGCGAGAGCGAGCGAGAAGAAATTGGAACGCGCGCGGCTGATCAACATCGGGCAGGGCTGGATCGTCTCGACGAGCGATCGACGCGATCGACGCGACGCGCCGTTTCAACGGTCGATTCCTCGAACGATCGGACGCGTTCTTGTCGAAAAGAAAGAAAAAAGAAAACAGAAAAATGATCGAAAAGAGTACAAGTTGGCCGACGCGATTACAAAATTGAACCTTTGAAAAATCCGATCGTTCTCCGCGAAATCTTTAGGGAGAACGTTGAAACGCGACAACGACGATCTCGGAAGCGTGATTTCAGGAATCGACGCGTTGTTCGACGCGCGGACGACACATTTTAGAATGTTAACTGTAATTTTTAAGAGTTTAGCAAACCGCGGTCGAGCCGATGCAGCCGTCCCGATGGCTTTTAGAATTACATACATACATTGTGCACCAACGTTGCGCGTTAGTCAGCGACCGCTAAATATTGTATCGGCGAATTCGCGTTCTTTTTTCGAAGATATTCTATTCTGTTTACGAGGAATCGGCGTGTACCTTGCGAACGCGAATTCGTTCTCCGGCTTTCCTTTCCGATTCGCCGACGCGCTCGCCATCGAACGCGGCGCGCGCGCGTTCGGAATCGCTCCGCGAATCGGGAAATCCAAGTCGAGCGAACGAAGTCGAGCGAGTGTAAATAATTGCATGTGTGGAATTTGCGAAATCGGCGAATAAATTAAGCATTTTTCAAATTGTTGCTCCGTTTATTTCTATTTATTCTATCGAACGACGTGGTTTCGCTGCGAGTCGTCCAGCGATTCCAAACTTTTGGCTGACAGTGTATTTTGTATTTTGTATTTTGTATTTTGTATTTCGTATCTCGTATTTTGTATTTTGTATTTTGTATTTTGTATTTTGCGATAAAAAAGGAACATATATTCTGTTGAATAAAACGTTGGACTATTCGAATTTCATTTCGGAACCGTTCACTTCGGTTCGACGCTCGAGCCTTCCGGTCTCGATCGATCGAACGCGCAAAAATTTCTCTTCGCTCACTGCTGGCCATCGTTTGAAATCGCTGTATCATCCGAAGAAACCTATCGATTTCCTCGACGACTTAAAAATGTTAGCAATCGTTATTAGGATTATAACTCAAGAAAAACACATTGTATGTGGTACATAATTTGAATAAATCTCAACAAGTGGTTCTAAATTTTTAATTGGAAGTACACGTGGCACTGCTAGCGAACGTTCCAACGATGCAGATCCAAACGATCCTTCCTTTAAACTTTTTTTAGATCGTCCACGCACCGAAGCGCGTGCTTCGTCGAATCTTTTTAAATTTCGTTCGCCTTTGCCCCCCCCCCCACTCTCCCCACCCTGGGTTTTCCCTTTAACGAGCGTAAATTTATTCTACGCGATTCTAATAAATTCGTTGCTTCCTCGTTTAGATCGAGCCACGATACCGTTAATAGATATATACGCGTTCAATGTTATCGTTCGCTTTGATTTATTTTATAATCGTCGCGTGTTCAAGGAATTCTGTCGCGTGTCCGTGGTTTAAATCTTTCTTTTAGAGCCTGAAATTGGCGCCGCGTTTGTAACAACCTTTGAACAGCGCCATCGGTCGTTGCGGCGAAACGCTGAAACTGTTGGACGACGCGACGGCCGATATAGACGAAATTTGGCAACAGTAGCTCCCCTCGCGACGAAATTAAGAAGCTCGATTCGAGGTCCGTACAGCGCCAATTAGTATACGGCGAAAAGCTGAAACTACTGGCCAAACAGTGGCGCCCTCTCGCGGCGAAATCTCGAAGCTCGTTTTGGCTAGAAGTTTCAGCGTTTTGCCATGTACTAATTGGCGCTGCACGAACCTCGAATCCAGCTTCTTAATTTTGCCGCGAGAGGCGACACCGTCGCTCAAACGGCAGCCGATTCGTGCCAGACTTTGCATCGTATCTTATAGGAAAAACGGCAAAAGTTATTCGTTCCGTACATTTGCGGCGACGAATAAACATTTTTACACGACACGGGTGCAGGCGAGTCTCTTATCGACGTTTACGATTTCAAATCATAACTTTTTGGAAGCTTATTTACTTCGTATCGATTCGTTCTAAATTCTTTCGATCGGATCATCGTGGAGGAAATAAGCGAGCAACGTTTTATAACAATTGTATTAATATCATTTATGTACAATGTTTACACGACGACACAGAACATAAATCTGCAAGCCCGACACGCGGTTATAATACACGACTGTTATCTGGATGAAATCGCTCGTTACATAATATTAATACGACAATTACGGCGAAGTAAAAAATATAATTATCGTAAAGATCCTTAACGTTAAAACGCGCGTCGTCGTTTGCTATAGTACATTCATAAATACTTTGAAATATAGGGAAATGGCGTAATAACTATTTGTTCGTGATCGTGGCTGTGTACATTGAACAACTGCGATTTATTTAAGTACATTGTCGTCGAATACTACTTTTAATCCCGAACGAAACGATGTTGCGTCGCTTATAATTTATACGCTACCCTGATGCGGAGTAAAAAATCTATTTTTACGTTAATATCTCTGTACCTTTTTTTCGATATGTACAAGACAACGAATAAATCGTAAAGATTGTTAAAATGGTGGAAGCTCTTTATTTTATATGTATATATCGATTTACTTAAAAATTAACTTGGTAAAAAAAAGTATTCGTTTACTCGACTACGTAAAGTAAACGCAACGCTCCGAATAAATTCGTGTTTAAGACTACGCAACTCTCGCCATTTCAATTTTCTACAGTTCGCCTTACCACGTACTCAGATTTATCAATATTTGTCATGGCTACTAGATAATGCAACGCCTCGTACCGCATCGTTTGTCTCTTTCGGTCGGTGCTTCGGAAACGAAGCGAACGAAAGTAGCGATTATCGTCGAATACGAGTTGCACCGGTTAAATTAATTTCAGCGTACCACAACAAATTCTACGCAGATCTGTAAAATATTACATACTATAATTAATAAGAGCTAGAATTACGTTTCTCTTACGGCTATCGCGGTGGCTTGAGAAACGAGTACAGGTATGAGTGCACGATAAGAACTGGCCGCGTATAGAAACGGAAAATGTCGCCTGAGCGTTCGATACAAACTCCGTCGAGACTTCCATCCACGTGTATCGTTGGAACGTAGCAATACCGAGCCTATTCTTTTCCGGTGTCCACGTTACAGCTCAAGAATTTCTACGAATTACTCTCGAATCTTCCAACGAAATGCTCTCGTCGCTCTTTAACCGACGATTTCTTAAACAACGATCGAATTCCTCGGTCTGCCCGCGTTCGTCCAACGAGAGATTCTACCGACTCGGTTACGCCACGGGCATAGCCGAAACGAAGTCGGTTGGTTCTATTACGATACTATAGTTTACGCTAGACTATTATTATCAGAATACTTCGAAACTTTAAAACCGTCGCGGAATTCGAAATTGCAGTCCTGATAAGCGTTTCCTTTCTTTTCTTCGAAACAGCCGACCTCGATCGAGCAACGAAATTCGACTCGACCACGTCTTTTCAACTTTCAACTTTCAACTTTCAACTTTCAACAGCTTAAATTTAGTCCTGATAAGAACGGCTCGAATACAGTTTGGCAATATCTCCTCCCCGATATCTATCGCTAAACTTTAACGGTACATTAATAATAAATAGGATAATAATAAAAAAAAGAAAACAAGCTCCGTCGCGCGTCGACGACATATCGGTAGAAACACGAGAGAGATATTGGAAAGGCGCGAAAATCCGCGATCCGACGGTCGGACCCTGCGAATACGGGGAACGTATCGGGGGCACAGGTACGAAAGCGAACCCTGGCATTGGTAACGTTTTCATCTCTTTCATCGTTGAATCGGGCAATCGAAATTCTCAGTCTCAACGTACGCGACACTCGGAGCATACCGTTTCCGGAGGTATCTTCTTCGACGGTGCTCGAATCATCGAGATCGGTGGTATCGCTCACGGTGGAGCATGGTGGTTCGAGGTAGAAGACCGCGCCGACTTCCCAGAACCTTCCACGGATCTCACGTCTCGGAGTCGAAGAGGTCTTGGTCCCCCCGTGGTTTGCACTTCTTGCACTTCTTCTTCTTTTTCGGTTTCGGCTTCGGCATGACTTCGCAGCTGCAGCCGCTCCGAACCCTGATGTAGTCCAACGTCCACATCGATCCACCCTCCGTGTTCGCGGTGAACGTCAGACGTTCCCTGTGATGCCTCTTGTGCTCCCCTTTCAGGCTCTTCTGGAAACAATCGTCGAGAACGCTCGCGTTACCGGGCTGCTAATTTTCCGTTCGTTGGAAATTTTGCCAACGCCGGAAACCTTCCGCGTCCGAATAGAGGACGTTTCCACTTTACTCCGTACGAAAAGTGCAAATAACGCGGTGTTTTCGTTCAACGAAAGTACCGTAGAAGCGGATCGAATAAAAAGCAACGTCGTCGATAGGACCGAACGAGTACGACCGGTAGCGAAGAATCGAAGCCGAGCCCCGCGGAGGACCCGATCTCCCATCGATCGCGGGATCGATGCTAACGGACGGATCGAATCGTTCCTAATCTTGGCTAGAATCTTTCGAGTGCAACGGAGATACGTGGTACGAGCTCTCTCGAATAGCCGAGAGGCAAGAGGCAACGGCGAATAGGCAAGAGGCGAGAGAGNACGGGCATAGCCGAAACGAAGTCGGTTGGTTCTATTACGATACTATAGTTTACGCTAGACTATTATTATCAGAATACTTCGAAACTTTAAAACCGTCGCGGAATTCGAAATTGCAGTCCTGATAAGCGTTTCCTTTCTTTTCTTCGAAACAGCCGACCTCGATCGAGCAACGAAATTCGACTCGACCACGTCTTTTCAACTTTCAACTTTCAACTTTCAACTTTCAACAGCTTAAATTTAGTCCTGATAAGAACGGCTCGAATACAGTTTGGCAATATCTCCTCCCCGATATCTATCGCTAAACTTTAACGGTACATTAATAATAAATAGGATAATAATAAAAAAAAGAAAACAAGCTCCGTCGCGCGTCGACGACATATCGGTAGAAACACGAGAGAGATATTGGAAAGGCGCGAAAATCCGCGATCCGACGGTCGGACCCTGCGAATACGGGGAACGTATCGGGGGCACAGGTACGAAAGCGAACCCTGGCATTGGTAACGTTTTCATCTCTTTCATCGTTGAATCGGGCAATCGAAATTCTCAGTCTCAACGTACGCGACACTCGGAGCATACCGTTTCCGGAGGTATCTTCTTCGACGGTGCTCGAATCATCGAGATCGGTGGTATCGCTCACGGTGGAGCATGGTGGTTCGAGGTAGAAGACCGCGCCGACTTCCCAGAACCTTCCACGGATCTCACGTCTCGGAGTCGAAGAGGTCTTGGTCCCCCCGTGGTTTGCACTTCTTGCACTTCTTCTTCTTTTTCGGTTTCGGCTTCGGCATGACTTCGCAGCTGCAGCCGCTCCGAACCCTGATGTAGTCCAACGTCCACATCGATCCACCCTCCGTGTTCGCGGTGAACGTCAGACGTTCCCTGTGATGCCTCTTGTGCTCCCCTTTCAGGCTCTTCTGGAAACAATCGTCGAGAACGCTCGCGTTACCGGGCTGCTAATTTTCCGTTCGTTGGAAATTTTGCCAACGCCGGAAACCTTCCGCGTCCGAATAGAGGACGTTTCCACTTTACTCCGTACGAAAAGTGCAAATAACGCGGTGTTTTCGTTCAACGAAAGTACCGTAGAAGCGGATCGAATAAAAAGCAACGTCGTCGATAGGACCGAACGAGTACGACCGGTAGCGAAGAATCGAAGCCGAGCCCCGCGGAGGACCCGATCTCCCATCGATCGCGGGATCGATGCTAACGGACGGATCGAATCGTTCCTAATCTTGGCTAGAATCTTTCGAGTGCAACGGAGATACGTGGTACGAGCTCTCTCGAATAGCCGAGAGGCAAGAGGCAACGGCGAATAGGCAAGAGGCGAGAGAGAGAGAGAGAGAGAGAGAGAGAGAGAGAGAGAGAGAGAGAGCCGAGAGAAACGAAAGGCGCGTGGCGCGTGGCGGGCGACGCGGGAGCCGTCGGAGCGGAAGAGGGGGTCCCCGACTAAAAGCTAGGCTCGCGAACGATTTTTAATCCGTACCTTCGATCCAGAATTTTCAATGATAGCGTAAGTGTACGAGAAGTTCTGCACGCATCTGGACTGGTTACTGAACTTCCGGTCGATGAACCTGCACGGCTTGTCGAGGACGTCTGGCCTGCAGGAGTACTCGAAGAACCTCTGAGCGTTCTGGCCATCCCGATAGAGCTGGACGTACATGTCGTCCCGATTTCGACCGCCGACCGGTTCCACCATTTCCAATACCGTAGGGCAGCAATCGACTGGAAGCCCGTCCTCGCCTCCTTCCTGTCGCAGAATCATGTTCATCTCTCGATAAGTCATCCGCTTGGTCGTGTCGTCCGAGGTCTGCGTCCTGGAAGGTTCGCCGCGCCGTGGCCCGAGAGGACGGTACAGAAACATGGAGAGAGAGAGAGAGAGAGCGGCACAGATCAGACAAGAGAAATCGTTTCGAGATGCGCCCTTTCGACTCTCTTTCCTTTCTTTCCGGAAAACGAAAAGAAACGAAAAGAGAAACGAAAAGGAACGGAAACCGGCGAACGGGGAGGGGGGGGGGCTGCGCGCGTTCTAGCGAGGCTCGGGGCCCGAGACCCGAGGCTCGAGGTTCGGATCCGAGAATTTAGACGGAACGGGAGAAAGGAGGAGGGACGAAAAATGGAAAAAATCCGGGGAACCGTTCCGGTTCGACCGAACATTCCACTCGTGCCGCTGACTTAGCGGCTCGTGTCTAAATCGCGCGATAGAATGCAGCTCGTGGCCTCGCCCGCGGAGGCCCGCGGAGGCCCGCGGAGGCCCGAGGGGGCCCGAGAGGGATTAGAAAAGGAGAGACGCCGTTCGTAAATCGATACTTTGGCCGATCGCGTACTCGTCGGCCGTACGTATCGCGTATCGCGTATCGCGCGAGTCATTAATAATAATTAAGACAGGCTGACACTCGCCGTAATAAATATCGCGCGGGCTTCGCCGCGACGCGGATGAGATATACGGGCTCGGTCGCCGGCGCTGATTGAAAATTGAAATTCAGCTGGTCGAAACGCGTCGTCCGGTTCGCGATAAACTTGCTGCCCGAGCGGCGCGGCGGCGCAGCGGCGCAGCGGTCCGAATCGCGATTCTCGCTCGGCGAAAACATTTATATCCTTGCGCGTTTCTGCTCGCGTTTTCCGTTGTTCCGATCTATTTACGATTATTCGTCGTTCGTTCGTGCGTTCGCGCGGATAAAAATGCGAAAGAAAAATTGCGACGAAGGTTACGGCGCGAGATACGCTTCTATCGTAATACGTCGAACGAATCGAAGGTGTAGCTAGGATTTTTAAAAAACGAAAGCGTCGAACTAATATTTCCATCGTAAATTTCAGCTTTCCAGCTTCGATCTCGCCGACCAAACGACTTCGGTGGTGCGGTCGTTTTCGAAGCCGATATTCGGCGGTCGACGCGCAGCGTGGGCGTAGAGGGAAATACGAGGATAAGAATCATTCTGCTCGGTCAGGATGGATCGCGTTTTACACCACCGGGCGAACGACGACTTCGCGCCGTGCCGCGCCGCGCCGCGCCGCGTCGAGATATTTACGCGCGTATACGAATCGTCCGTAATTGCAAAGAGTCGGTTGATTCGTTGGACTTCTCGTCTCGTCTCGTCGCGGCTCGGCTCGGCACGGCTGTCGGCCGTATCTCCGCCGATGTCCGCGAAACGATCGCGCCTCGGCGAAGCGAGCCGGGGACCGCCGTTCGCGAGTCAGCGGGCTACTTACCAGCGAGAGATATGTCCCCTGAAAGGATGTTCTCTGGTCCTACGAGAAGAGAAAGATAACGTCAGGTTGTTGGCGGCAACGAGCCGCGGACACAGGACTGCGGTCAGCCAAACCACCTGCGGGAAACAAACAATTCCATCGAAATCAGCGGTGCGTTCCGTCTTCGTTGCTGGCGCGACGATCGGAAAATTAACCGGCGCGCGAATAAACGAAGGGACGCGATCGTAAGTTGTCGCGAAACTCGATCGCGATATCGTAGATCAGCGTTGCGCGATCCTTGAATTATCCAAACGCCGGAAGCACCGTCCGAAATAACGTTAAAACGGGCGGTCTTCGCGAGAAGCTGCCGCGCGCATTTTCCTTCGAATCGATGAGATTTTCGAATCGGCCCGATCAACGTCGATCTCCTTGTCGGACGCGGCGCGAATAGCCGGTGTCCCGAGCTGGCCGATAGAAAGTTCCGATTCGGGTAGAGCGTTCGTAGCTCTGGATTCGCGCACGGGCGCGCCGAACGCGTATCCGACCAGGTTATATTTGCCGACGCGAGAGATCGACGAGCCGAAGCTCGGCAACCGAGTTGGCGCGAACGGAACCGAAAGAGAGAGAGAGAGAGAGAGAGAGAGAGAGAGAGAGAGAGAGAGAGAGAGAGAGAGAGAGGAAG